GGAATGAGAACTCTTAAAAACCTAGTTATTTCCTCTAAAACATTCTCATTTGACCACTTTACACTAATTATATATTTTCAATTAACAGTCCATCAAAAGACCCAGAGGGGAGGATGAGTGGTCCATTTTCTATGATTACATAGTAAAAGGTAACTAACTAGGATGCAGGATATTTTTAAGATGCACTAATTCTAATTATAATTACTATAATAATTACAGAAAAGGTAACTCCAATATTTTTCCAACCATTATAATTTTGGTCTTATAATATTTTTACTTCCTGAAAACTGTTAAGAATACAATTATAATACTTTGCATGAGTAATATGAAGCCCGAAAATATTGAGTTTACTTTTAAAGATTCAGGACAAGTTTTCAAAATGTTAAAATATTATACAAAAATGGAATAGAGGCAGGGCATGGTGGTTCATGCCTGTAATCCAGCACTTTGGGAGGCCAAGGAGGGAGGATCACTCGAGGGCAAGAGTTCGAGACCAACCTGCCCAACATGGTGAAACCTCGTCTCTACGAAAAATACAAAAATTAGGCGGGTGGGGTGGCATGTGCCTGTAATCCCAGTTACTCCGGACGCTGAGGCAGGAGAATTGCTTGAACCCAGGAGGCAGAGGTTGCAGTGAGCTGAGACTGCACCACTGCAGTCCTGTTTGGGCAACAAGAGTGAAACTCTGTCTCAAAACAACGATGACAAAATGAAATAGAAGTCTGAACTTTCACAAGTGAGAGAATACCAGTCTTAAGTGGTGTGAAACTGGTTACAAATTTATTTATTGGTTCAAGGAACTGACATGTTTTTGATCACCAATTCTGTGCCAGGTTTTTTTCTAGACACTAGAATAATAAACAAGGCAGATACAGTTCCTGCACTCATTAAACTTGTATTTTGGCCAAATTAAACAACAACAATAAGAACATAACATGGGCCGGGCGCGGTGGCTCAAGCCTGTAATCCCAGCACTTTGGGAGGCCGAGATGGGCGGATCACGAGGTCAGGAGATCAAGACCATCCTGGCTAACCCAGTGAAACCCTGTCTCTACTAAAAAATACAAAAAACTAGCTGGGCGAGTGTGGCGGGCGCCTGTAGTCCCAGCTACTCGGGAGGCGGAGCTTTCAGTGAGCTGAGATCCGGCCACTGCACTCCAGCCTGGGCGACAGAGCAAGACTTCCTCTCAAAAAAAAAGAACATAACATGAACAAGAAAACTATGAGAAGATAAATGCTGCATGGATAATTCAAATATTCAAATACAGTAATTTTAAAGAGTGACCCAGGTGGGGCAGCTTATGCCTGTAATCCATTGCACTTTGGGAGGCTGAAGCAGGAAAATCCTTTGAGTCCAGGAGTTCAAGACCACCCTGGGCCACATGACAAAACCTGGGCCACATGACAATTCTCTATTAAAAAAAAGAATTGGGAGGGGGCGGGGTTAGGGAGAAGGCACGGTGGCTCATGCCTGTAATCCCAGCACTTTGGGAGACCGAGGTGGGCGGATCATGAGGTCAAGAGATCCAGACCATCATGGCCAACAAGGTGAAACCCTGTCTCTACTAAAAATACAAAAATTAGCTGGGCGTGGTGGCGCACGCCTGTAGTCCCAGCTATTCAGGAGGCTGAGGCAGGAGAATTGCTTGAACCCGGGAGGCAGAGGTTGCAGTGAGTCGAAATTGTGCCACTGCACTCCAGTCTGGCAACAGAGCCAGACTCCATTTCAAAAAAAAAAAAAAAAAAAAAAGGGAGGGGGCGACCTGATGGCCACTATTTAGTTGCTAAGGGAAGGCCCCTCTGAAGATGTGGCATTGAACAGAGATCTGAGTGACAAGAAGCCAGCAATGTGAAGTTCAGAGCATTTCATGTAGAGCACTCAGCCAAGGCAAATGTTCTAAGGCAGGAACTAGCTTGACATGCTTAAAGAACTCCAAGACTGTCCATTTACTACAGTGGGGTGGATAAAAAGGAGTAGGAAGCAATGAGGTCAGAGATAGGGGTGGGGCTATCTCATATTTTAGGACAGGGTAAGGATTTATATTTATGTTCTCAGAAGAACGAGAAGTAATGGAAGTGTGAATGAGAAGTAATGGAAGTATTTTAAGCAGGGAAATTGCATTTGATTTACATTTTAAAATAATTACTTGGCCTCTTTCTGCTTATGCGGGGGTGGGAGGGAACAGAGTGCATGCAGGAAGGTGAGTTTAGGGCTTACTACAGTGTCTAGGTGAGACAATATAGTGTCATAAACTGATGTGACAGTTGCAGAGATAGAAGGAAAAGGGTGGATTTGAGATATATATTTGGTAACACAAAGGTCAGAGTTTGCTTTTGGCTTGAATATGGAGCTGGGGGAGATAAGAATGGAAAGATTTCCAGATTTTTGGCTGAAGTGACTGGGTGGATGGATAATGTTACTATTTAAAAGATGGAGAAGACTAGAGAGGTGGAGGTTCCATTTGAACTATGTTAGAAATCCGGGTGGAGGTGCTAAGGAAGCAATTGCCTTTACAAAGTTTGGAGTCCCAGGAGAGATCAGGATTGGAGTTACAAACCTGGAAGTCATTGGCATATGGATAGTATTTAAAAGCCATGGGCCTGGATGGGGCAGATAAGAGGAGCTCGCAGACTAAAAACAGAAGATTGCTTGGAAGATGCCTAAATAATATTCCAGTGTGGTTGAGATTTAAGTTGTTAGAAGAAAAATTTAGAGAAAAAACCAGTAAGTTCAGTTTTTAGTATATTATAGTTGAAGATATCTAAGTGAAAATGTCAAATAGGTGGTGGGGTATGCGTTTGGAATTGAGGGAGAGGCCTGAGCTTTTAAAAGGACTGTTTTTCAAAACAGAAGGGCAAAAAGCCCAACTTTTTACCCTACCTCCAAACAATACCCAAACCCAGCCCTTCTGAATAATGTGAACATGGCTAACCTATATTTTCCTAATAACAGAAAGCGTAAGGAAAATACACTTTTCTGAGGAGCAATATTTTTATACTTGCGTTTTCTTAATGTTTTTGCCAAGAGTTTATAACTCACCAGTGTGTATTTTATTCTCTGATTTTTGATTCTTAGATAAGAGTTTAATTTCTGAAGTCAAGGTACAAGAAATAATATCCAAAAGCTGTGTCAACTGCCAGAAGTTAAATTTTATCAGTTTATCCCTATTCTAATAGAAAATTTGGAGGATTCTAGGTATTTGCACTATCTTCAAATATATATGCCTTCAAATATACAACTTGATCCATACACCATATCATATTGCATATATTCATAGACTATATCTTTTCTCCTATGCTATAGGAGAAGCTCCCTCATTAGACTGTGAGCCTCACAAGGGTTTAGGTCTTGCCTGTTTTCACCACTGTATCCTAAAAAGTAAATAAAAGCAAATACAAAATTAAGGAGAGAGGAGTCAATAAAGGCAAAGAAATGGGCAGGGAGCCAGAGGGTAGCAGAGGAAGCACACGACATGCAAAACATGAGCACAGCTAGAGCAACAGACAAGGGAGGACTTGAAACAAGAGGGGAAACAAAGTGGTGGCCATGGGAGAGAGGGAGAGGACGACCTGTGGGTCAGAGAGCAAGCAGGAGGGTCAAGAAGGAAGAACGCAAGAGAGAAGGGAGCAAGGTGGGTAAGGGAGTCGTGAGAAGAAGGGCCAGGAGAAAAAGGGGCTTTTTAGATTTCAAGGAATAGAAGAGAAGGGAGGCAAATGAGCCCAGGGGAGAAAGAGAGGGGATGTAAGAGAAAAAGGAAATGAGATACCTTGTTTGAAAGTACTTGTTCCGCTTCAGGAACTAAAGAAATATTAGTTTCACTCATTCAAATTAATTTCAAACTTGATTTCCTTAAAAGAAAAAAAAAACCTAAATCCTTCTGAAATAAAGTTAATTTTATGGCAAGCAACAGAATACTGTAGTGGTTGGGAAAATGGGTTTGAATACCATTGCCACCCAGCATCATCTGACGGTCTGGCAAAGGGGAATTGTTTGATACCACTAAGGGTGTAGAGAACAACAGAAATTTGTAAAGATGATACTTCTCCTGCTGCAAAGCACTATCCTAAGTGCTTTCCACATGTTAATTTAATACTCACAATAACTTTACGAGGTGAGAATATTGAGGCACCTAAAATTTAAGTAACTAGCCCAAGGTCACAGATCTTGCACTCAAGCAGTGTGGTTTTGGAATTAGTGACTTTATTCACTACATACACAGACTCTCAAAGAGATTAACAGAGAGTGTATAAACATAATTTGAGAACATAATTACCCTAAAAAATGATGGATCTTATTCGTGATCAAAACAGCAATTATAACTAGAGAAACAAGGCTCTTTCACACCATTGCTAAAGGAGAATCTGTAATAAAAACATAAAATCAGGAGAAAATACAACAAAAGTCCATTATGAGCAGTACATTATACTAATAACAGCTTCTTGAATTGGATAATTTTACTTTGGACTTTTTTGTTCCTCTTTCTGTTTTCTCCTTCATGTAATTAATCTGTTGCTAAAATTTCACTCTAAATTTTCTGCAGAATTATTTTTAGGATTGTCGTTTCTTCTCCCAAGGAAACTAGCAGGGGCGCCACAGCTGGATTAATAAAGAATTTGGAGTGAGAGAGATGAATGTCAGTGGAAGCAGATAATAGCCAACAGTTATAATCAATTTCCTTTGAATTAAATATTTTAATTGCTCCTCAAATCCAATGTCAGTTAGAATCCTCACTGGATGTGAAACTATGAATCAGGGTTAGCAGCTCATAAGAACTGTCCCCTTATGGCCCTAAGGTATTGGAAGAGGAGGAGGAGGAGGAGGAGGAAGCATTTCTCCTCCTAGTCCTTGCCATGGGCATTAACTACATCCTGCAGTCCAGGGCCATTCTGCATAATATATGGTGGGAAGACAAGGATAACATGAGAAGAGACTTTTAAAACAGCAAATTTCTCCCTAAACACTGCAAATTTCTCTATAAACAAGAAACACATAGACTCACTTTTTCATTGTAGATGTCCCCAAGCATTGTACTTGCTCTCACAAAATCTAGGCTTTGAAAATTGTTTCTTGCAATTTTCACAAATTTTTTCAAGTATTTAATTGCTTCTGTCGTATCTCCTTGGCTAGAATGAATGAAATAGGACATCAGTGGAGTGTCATCTCACTTAATGTCACAATAAAGAAAAAGTATCTTGTGTCTTTCCTGTAGAAAATGCAAGATGGTTATCAGGATAATGAGATTTAATGTGTAAATACCAAATTAAAAATACATGGCTTGTTTTTGTTGGAGCATACATTGAGTTAAAACTGAAACGTTTAAATCCTCATGCATTGCTAATGGAAATGTAAAATGGTACATCTTCTTAACAACTTGGCAGTTCCTCGAAAACTTTAACATAGAGTTACCATATGACCCAGAAATTTTACTCCAAAATATATACCCAAGTGAAGCAAAAATATGTCAACACAAAAAGTCATATACATGAAAGTTCATAGCAGCATTAATCATAATAGCCAAGGCATGAAAACAATTGAAATGTGTATCAACTGATGAATGGGTAAACAAAATATGGTATATACCTACAATGAAATATTATTCAGTCTTAAAAATGAATGAGGTAGGCCAGGTGCGGTGGCTCATACCTGTAATCCCAGCACTTTGGAGGCCCAGACAGGTGGATCGTGAGGTCAGGAGATGGAGACCATCCTGGCTAACATGGTGAAACCCCCACCTCTACTAAAAATATAAGAAATTAGCTGGGCGTGGTGGCCGGTAACTGAAGTCCCAGCTACTCGGGAGGCTGAGGCTGGAGAATGGCATGAACACAGGAGGTGGAGCTTGCAGTGAGCTGAGATCGCGCCACTGCACTCCAGCCTGGGCAACAGAGTGAGACTCAAAATCAAAATAAATAAATAAATAAATAAATAAATAAATAAATAAATAAATAAAAGAATGAGGTAGCGATGCATGTTGCAACATGGATGAAACTTGAAAATATGCTAACTGAAAGAAACCAGACAACAGAAGATCACACACCATATGAGCCCATTCACATAATATGTCTGGAATGGCAAATCCATGAGATGGAAAGTAGGCTAGTGGTCGCTAGAGGCTGAGGAAAGTGTAGGATTGAGAAATGACAAATAATGGGTACAAGGTTTCCTTTTAGGGTGATTGAAATTAGATAGTGGCCATGGTTGCTCAATCCTGTGAGTATACTAAAAACCACTGAATTGTATTAAACTTTTAAAGTGAGGACTCTTTTAAATTATAGATTTTTAAAGTCTACAATTGTTAAAGTCATCATTGTATAGCATATGAATTATGTTTCACTAAAGCTTTTTTTTTTTAAAAAAAAAAAAAAAACCTTTTAAAAGTGTATAAAAGGTGAATACTAGGTTGTTCTTGAAAGCTTTCATTGGTAGTGAAAGCTCAGGTGTCATTAAAGTCACATATACAAGTGTTACATATCCTCACAAAATGTTCAGGAAGACATAATTTCTAGCAGATAATTTGTCATATAGTAAGCATTAATACATTTTTGAATGAAGTAATATTGAAAATTTGAGAAGGGAGACACATATGCTGCACATATGAAGCTAAGCATCCAGGTAAACTGTGAGAACCTTAAGGCATATAGATGTTTGGAGTCTAAGACTGTAAGCTCCTGACCCTTGGATATTCCAGTAACATCAAGAAACTTTAGGAGTCTAGCAAATGTCCCAAAATTTGCTAGTTGCTGGGGAATAGGGTTCCTGTGCTTGAAGTGTTTCACTGTCAATTTGGAGAAATAAGTGTATAAATTCATACATGGGATCAACTGTGACAGGTACTGACTTGTATATAGTGCTTTGAAACCTGGAGTACATTCATTTGCCTATCCTCATGAAAACATGTCTAGTGTTTTTGTTGTTGTTGTTGTTGTTGTTTTCTAGGTTTTCTAAATGTGACTCTAAATTCTTTTGGCTATTTCTAAAGACTGAGCCCACTTCTCAACTGGGGCTGTTTAGAAGAGTATGTTGCAAATTCAGAAAGTATTTTCTTAAAAAAAAAAGGCGGGGGGGATACATGTGTAGAACGTGCAGGTTTGTTACATAGGTCTACATGGGCCATGGTGGTTTGCTGCACCTATTGACCCATCCTCTAATTTCCCTCCCCTCACTCCCCACCCTTCCACAGGCCCTGGTGTCTGTTGCTCTCCTTTCTGTGTCCATGTGTTCTTAGTGTTCAACTCCCACTTATGAGTGAGAACATGCGGTGTTTGGTTTTCTGTTCCTGTGCTAGTTTGCTGAGGATGGTGGCTTCCAGCTTCATCCATGTCCCCACAAAGCACGTGATCTCATTCCTTTTTATGACTGCATAGTATTCCATGGTGTATAGGTACCACATTTTCTTTATCCAGTCTATCATTGATGGGCATTTGGGTTAGTTCCATGTCTTTACTATTGTAAATAGTGCTGCAGTAAACACACATATGCATGTGTCTTTATAGGTTTACTGAATCATTTTCTGTAGGATCCTTAGGTATATATCCAATAATGGGATTACTGTGTCAAATGATATTGCTGCTTCTAGATCTTTGAGGAATCGCCATACTGTCTTCCACATTGGTTGAACTAATTTACACTTCCACCAACAGTGTAAAAGTGTTCCTATTTCTCCACAGTCTCACCAGAATCTATTGTTTCCTGACTTTTTAATAATTGCCATTCTGACTAGCGTGAGATGGTATCTCCTTGTGGTTTTGATTTGCATTTCTATGATGATCAGTGATGTTGAGCTTTTTTTCATGTTTGTTGGCTGCATAAATGTCTTCTTTTGAGAAGTTTCTGTTCATATCCTTTGCCCACTTTTTGATGGGGTTGTTTTTCCCTTGTGAATATATTTAAGTTCCTTGAAAATTCTGGATATTAGACCTTTGTCAGATGGGTGGATTGCAAAAGTGTTCTCCCGTTCTGTAGGTTGCCTGTTCACTCTGATGATAGTTTCTTTTGCTGTGCAGAATCTCTTTAGTTTAATTAGGTCCCATTTGTCAATTTTTGTTTTTGTTGCAATTGCTTTTGGTGTTTTTGTCATGAAATCATTGCCCATGCCTATGTCCTGAATGGTATTGCCTAGGTTTACTTCTAGGGTTTTTATGGTTTGGGGTTTTACATTTAAGTCTTTAATTCAACTTCAGTTAGTTTTTGTATAAGGTGTAAGGAAGGGGTCCAGTTTCAGTTTTCTTCATATGGTTAGCCAGTTTTCCCAGCACCATTTACTTAATAGGAGATCTTTTTTCCATTGATTGTTTTTGTCAGGCTTGTTGAAGATCAGATGGTTGTAGATGTGTGGTGTTATTTCTGAGGTCTTTGTTCTGATCCACTGGTCTATATGTCTGTTTTGGTACCAGTACCATGCTGTTTTGGTTACTGTAGCCTTGTAGTATAGTTTGAAGTGAGGTAGCATGATGTGTCCAGCTTTGTTCTTTTTGCTTAAGATTGTCTTGGCTATACGGGGTCTTCTTTGATTCCACATGAAATTTAAAATAGTTTTTTCTAATTCTGTGAAGAATGTCAATGGTAGTTTGATGGGAATAGCATTGAATCTATAAATTACTTTGAGCAGTATGGCCATTTTCAAGATATTCATTCTTTCTATCCATGGAGATGGAATGTTTCTCCATTTGTTTGTTTTCTCTCTTATTTCCTTGAGTAGTGGTTTGTAGTGCTTCTTGAAGAGGTCCTTCACATCTCTTGTTAGCTGCATTCCTAGGTATTTTATTCTCTTTGTAGCAATTGTGAATGGGAGTTCAGTCATGATTTGGCTCTCTGCTTGCCTACTATTGGTGTAAAGGAATACTTGTGATTTTTGCACATTGATTTTGTATCCTGAGACTTTGCTGAAGTTGCTTCTCAGCTTAAGGAGGTTTTGGGCTGAGATGATGGGATTTTCTAAATATACAATCATGTCATCTGCAACCAGAGACAACTTGACTTCCTCTCTTCCTGTTTGAATACGCTTTATTTCTTTCTCTTGCCTGATTGCCCTGGCCAGAACGTCCAATACTATGTTGAATAGAAGTGGTGAAAGAAGGTATCCTTGTCTTGTGCTAGTTTTCAAAGGGAATGCTTTCAGCTTTTGTGCATTCAGTATGATATTGGCTGTGGGTTTGTCATAAATAGCTCTTGTGATTTTGAGAGATGTTCCATCAATACCTAGTTTATTGAGAGTTTTTAACATGAAGGGATGTTGAATTTTATCGAAGGCCTTTTCTGCATCTATTGAGGTAATCCTGTGGGCTTTGTCATTGGTTCTGGTTTATGTGATGGATTACGTTTATTGATTTGCTTATGTTGAACCAGCCTTGCATACCAGGGATAAAACTGACTTGATCGTGGTGGATAAGTTTTTAATGTGCTGCTGGAATCAGTTTGCCAGTATTTTATTGAGGATTTTCACATTGATGTTCATCAGGGATATTGGCCTGAAATTTTCTTTTTTTGTTGTGTCTCTTCCTGATTTTGGTAACAGGATGATGCTGGCTTCATAAAATGAGTTAGAGGAAATTCCCTCTTTTTCAATTCTTTCGAATAGTTCCAGAGGAATAGTACCAGTTTCTCTTTGTATATCTGGAAGAATTCAGCTGTGAATTTGTCTGGTCTTGGGATCTTTTGGTTGTTAGGCTATTAATTACTGCCACAATTTCAGAGCTTGTTATTGGTCTATTCAGGGATCTGACTTCTTCCTGGTTTAATCTTGGTAAGGTGTATGCATCCAGTAATTTATCCAATTCTTCTAGATTGTCTAGTTTATTTGTGTAGAGGTGTTTACCATATTCTGTCGTGGTAGTTTGTATTTCTGTGGGGTCAGTGGTGATATCCCCTTTGTCATTTTTTATTGTGTCAACTTGATTCTTCTTTCTCTTCTTCTTTATTAGTCTTGCTAGCAGTTTATCAATTTTGTTAATTTTTTCATAAAACCAGCTCCTGGATTCATTGATTTTTTTGGAGGATTTTTTGTGTTTCTATCTCCCTCAATTCCTCTATGATGTTAGTTATTTCTTGTCTTCTGCTAGCTTTTGGATTAGTTTGCTCTCACCTCTCAAACTCTTTTAATTGTGAGGTTAGGGTGTCTATTTTA